GGCCGCGAAAGAAACAAGGGAGGAAAACAAAAAAAAGAAGGAAAAAAAAAAAAACAAGTTTCAGAAAGTCGTCTTGTCGTTCGGGGTCAGGGGCCAGAAATTAAATCAGGAGTAGCCCCTTTTCCGTAAAAAGTAAAAATCCATGGTCCTTCCTGCGCCGGCTTCAGGCTCCCGGGTCCCCGGCTCGGAAAGTGGCCGGCGGCGCACGGGTCCTCCTGAAACTAGGGAAGGCCCTGGGCCGCGCCCAGCCGGCACATATACAAACCTTTGAAGTGTTTGATTCCTGGGCGTCACATGCTCCGGGGTTTCAAACCGTGAAACCTTTCCAAGAGCAGTTCGAAATGTGTCTCTAAACACTGTGTCACTATCTGATCCGAAAAGTTTAATATTTAACCTTTGGGGGCCCTCGCCTCCGTTTTCAGTTTGGATTCCCTGCGCTCGTCCCCAGCCGCCGAACTCGTGTTTTTCGGGAGAGAGGGTGTAAAGCGTGTTTGATATTTTTAAAGAAACTCGCAGCCCCCCTCAGGCCACCGTGAGTCGCCGAGTCTGAGTCCGAGGACCCGAGACGTGGCATTCTCGCCCGAGGACTGAAAAAAAATCCTTCCAAACAAGCTTTGGTTTCATTTTCCAACGCCCTGGCCTGGGAATCCTGCAGCCCGAGGACGTGGCCTGGCGCGGGGTATTTGGGGGGCGTCTGAGGAAAAGGAAGGGACTCAAGGGTCTGACTCCTAATCTAGCTTCCCCAACCCCCAAAAAACCCCGCAAAGAAAACCTTCGCACCGCGGGCCCACCGAGGGGCGCCTCCCCCAGCGTTGAGTAAATCCCCCTGTAGTTCCAGTTTAAAGCTGTTTGTTTAAAAGATTTGTCGTTGGCCGATTCCCGTGGGGGCGGGAGGGGGGTCTTGGAGCCCACCCTGCCCTCGCCGTCTGCCCGCAGCAGCTTGGATTCCTGATTCCGGAGCCCGGGATGCTCCCTAGAGCCGCGGATCACGGCAAAGCCACCGGCTCCCGGGTGCCCGCCCTGCGCCCCGCGCCGCGAGCTGCAGACCCCCCTCAGCCGCCAACCCCTCGGCCTCCTCCAGCCTCCCTCCACAACTTTGCTAAACGTGCTTATTTTAACCCGGTTTTGGTTATAACCACCCCCTCCCTTCCTCCCTCCCTCGCTCTCTCCCATCAGGCTCTGGTTACCAGATCCGCGTTTACTTTGGAAAAATCTAAGACCGCCACATCGGAGGATACATGTCTTAAGGAGGCGATGAGCTTCCCGTGATTTTTTTAAGTGTCCTTTGTGTAGCTTTCTTTTTAAAAGCCAGCACTTCAGGGCATGCCCCCGCGCCCCACTTTGGGGAAGTCGGGGTGAAGCCCCCCGGAATACCCTCGCTCTGGTAGAGAAGCTGGCTCAGCCATCTGCGGGCTCCGCTGCGTTCTCCCTACTTTTCTCCCTCTGTTAAATGCAGTTAAAATGGCTGAATTCCGGCTTTTAATTAAAAACAGCCTATAATCGAAAGCGTCTCGGCGTCCCAGGCTCCCCCGCCGCCTACCGGGAACCGAGAAGGGAAGCGACGCCCCGCGGCCCGGCTGGGCAAGCTGGAGCGAGGCGGGGGACTCAGGTGGGCGCCCGGGGCGCAGCGGCTCGCCCCCACCCCTCCCGGGGCGCCCCCACCTCGCCGACCCTGGTCCCCGATTCCATTCTTCAGGACCAGAGAGATGCGGGGATCCCCCGGCGCACCCTGAGGGGGAGGTGGGGTCGGGGGGCCAGCTGGAGAAGTTTGGAGACCATCTCGCCCGGCCAGGCGGGCGGACG